AGAAATAAATTTTTTATATAAAAAAAAATCAATTTTCTATAAGATTTCGTCTGCTTTCGTATTTCAAACACAGAAGGCTATGTGGAAGAAGTGAATACAAGAATCCTATTTTTTTCTATAGAAAAATCAATTTTCTATAGAAGAACTCACCTGCTTTCGTATTTTTTCCTCAAGTAATGCCTTTTTACTAAAAAGTTTAAATTTTTTTAGCGGAAGCTATGAAGTTATGGAACTATGAAAAACCAATCTGTGACAATTTCAATAATTTTTTTCTACAGAAAACCCCCACTTAGTGAAAGAAATGAAAATAGTTGAATTTGTTGTCTAAAATTGACGTCTACATATTCTGTATATCTATATACATATATAAAATAGAAAAAAGTGATTGTTTGTGTGTATGTTACCGATAAACGCCAAAACCGCTGAACAGATATTATTGAGATTTACACAGTATGTCGTGGCATGCCCTGAATGTAACATAGTTATAGCATCAATTAACAATTTTTTTCCATATAAATTACTTATAGTGAACGTTTTGTATACGGAAACGTTAATCTAAGCTTTATTTTTCTTGAAAAAGTTCCAAGTCAGTGATATTTTTTTCTACAGAAAAAGTATCAGATATGTATTTTTTCAATAGAAAACTATATCAGTGATAAGTTATTCTATAGCCACCATTTTCTCTCGTATATTTAAAAGATAAAAATAAATGGCTTTTAACATAACTAAGAAAGCATTATAAATATTTAATATGACAATAATTCAACATAAATGAGTCAGAGACACACATACACACACCCTCCCACGTGGACCCATGTCTACTTCGTTTATGTAACAACAATATCTCCCTCAAACTATAAGCCATAAGCTATTTAAGCTAATAACAAAACGAACAAAGAGAGAGAGGGAGAGAGAGACACAAAGCATATTACCAAACTACTATAACAATGCTGGTCAAAGCCAATGCCAAGAACCTTTATGAGTTCCCGACTACCACTATTACTGTTGTTGCTTTAGCTGCTGCTGTTAAACACCCACAACTATGACAAACAATTAAATCCATAAAATATCTTAACATATGTACATGTATATGTCTTCCCGTTTACATCTGCCTCTGTGACTCTGGTGGAAACCTCATAACAACGCAAAGCACACAAACGCCCCTCATCTGCCCCCACAACCACATTGGCAAAAAGTGAACAAACCAAAGATGAGGTATTTGCCTAAGACAACACACATGCACTCAAACACACACACACACTACAAAAACTAACACTATTATCGAATGGCAACATTAACGAGTATGGGTGCCATTACTACTACCATTGCTACTGCTGCTCATATGTCACTATTATGATGTCACAGCTCATGTAATGACATTGTCACTGGCAGTAATGCTTAAGCCAGTTAAAGCCTCTAAAATGCCATCTCTTTATGGTGAGTAATAGCGCCAAAGATGGCATTACTCTGCTCATTCACACTCTTCGGCAGACAGATATAAAGAGACACACTTGCTCACACCTACACCAACACACACAAATGAAGAGGCCACTGTAAAAGCACTACTTCTCATCCATATCCTACTCGTATTTATAACGATTGTATTAGACTGACACGACAAGTGGTCTCACTAATAACACTTAGTGCTCATAACAGACAGGCAAGCAGGCATGATAACCAGACCAAGACTATATTTGACTGGGAGAGAGTTTGTGGTGGTGTTAATGGCGGTTAGTACTGGATGGGGGTTGTCATTGTTTGTGGTATTTCTGCATAAAGTTTTTGGACATTTGGAGACAATTGGACATTTTGTTGGTAGACAGGTGTGTTGGTAGAGAGGTGTTTGACTTAATTAGTAGACTGACCACAAAATTTGGAGGGGGATATTTCAAACATTTGTCACAAGTAGAAATTAATGGTGATATTCGAATAATTTTTCAGTTATGGATTTTTCTATAGAAAAATTTAAACAATTTGTACTTAAAAAAATATCTGTAGAAAAATGTTTTTCATAAAAAAATTATGGATGATGTCTTCTACGATTAAAAAAATCAGGAGTGACGGCTCTTTTATATAAACCAATTATTACTAAATGTCTTTGCCTGCGAAAGTTATTATTTGTTGTATAGAAAATTTTATAATTGGTGAATTTTTCTATAGCAAGTAAGTAATTCGTTATGTTTGAATTAATTCAACTTTTTATACCATCTGCCATGAGAGGAGGTCGGGACCGCCATAATGGGGCTATATCAAAACACAAATCATTGTAAATTGTCTGCTTGGAGGATATGTATTTGTGATCACAGTGTAATAAAAATACCTTATATGCAGCGGTACCTTCATGGACCTACATTGCTTATTTTCAGTAAAAATTTCATTCATCCTTTAAGAACGAGGAATGTCAAATAAAATGGCAAAATCGGCATAGAAATTTATACTCATATATACACCATATTTTATTGAACCTTCAACAAATATTTCGACGTGTTTCAAACAGAATGACAAATCATTGCCATTAAGGATTTCGGTAGAAAAAAATTCAAATTATTAAAAAATCAAAAAATGTTTTAATCCGCACCATCTTTTGTTTCCACGAAAATCTTTAAATGTGTATGTTTGTGTGTATGTGTCTGTTGTCTACTACGTGAGGGATAAATGACATTGACTCTTGATATAGAACACAATCCAAGTTTGTTTTGTGGCCAAAGACAATGGTTTGGTAGTTTGAGATACAAACAAAGACAATCACACAATATCTTTAAGGGAATAAAAAACATTTTACAGCAATCGTGGTGGATATTAGGGTAGTTTCCATGAATTGTTAAAGTGTCCAAAAGAAAAATATAAAAAATTTCAATTGATGTCGGATAGGTTTTAAACAAAAAATTGAAAAAAAAAATATGAACTTATTTTAAATGTTGTGAAGTGTATATGACGGTGAAATTCCGTGCTAGAAAAACACCAATATGTGGATCATTAAAAGTGACAAAGTTATGGGTATATCTAAAAGAAACGTCCCCTATTTGATAAGTAATTTAAATTTTTTTGTTAAGTTGTCTGCAGTTCTCTTTATAATAGACCTAAAGAAATTCAGCTGTATGTTCGATAGAATCCAAGAGATTCGGATCCAATTTATATTTTGTATTTTTCGGTTTTTTCTTATTACATTTCGTTACACCTCAACATAACGATTTAAATAACTTCCCACCCCATCCATTAGAGTCTATGAAATATCTATGTAATAAATATAGCTTCGCTGATATCTAATCTAGTTACTGATTTTGGATGACTTCAACAATTTTATATTCTAAATCACTGTCTCAATTGACAATAAACTTCCTCCCCTTCAATTCGAGAGATGACTTTAATTCCTCCCCCAAACAAATGGTTTTGTTTTCATGTTGTTGTTACTGCTGTCAGACAAACTGTCTCATAAAAATAATGCCAGTAATGTTCGAAAATTGCCAGCCGAGTTTAAAGGTTATTGGGAAATATTCGTTAGGCTTTTCTATTTCCTAAATAATTGAGTGAAATCTATCAGCATTCTGCAGAGGTTTGAAATTTCAAACCAAAAAAGCAAAACGAAACAATAACGTGACAAAAATAAAAGTAGGTAGGTATCGGAACTGCCTTTCGAATAGGAAATTTGTGTGTCATTCAGGTTCATATGAAGGGTGAAAGGGAAAATAAAATAGCTACTTCAGCTTCTAGAAAAAACACCCAAGGACGCGAATCTTCTTACTTAAAATTGTATTAAAAAGGATTAACAAAATGCAACCTTCGTTAGATGTTAAACAAATTTATAAGTCGCTTTAAACCATCGTAACACTTTTAAATTATTTTTTGGAACATCTATGCGTATGATTATTTATAATTCAGAAATAAAGGTTATCTGTGCGTATACATACCATAAAAAAATATTACGTATACGCCGTGTAAGGTTCAGCATAAATGAAAATTGCCTATACTATTAAAAATTTTAAAATACTCTTATGTACCTCGAAAGGCCTTCTGTATTTCGCAACCTTCGGAGTTCCAAAAACTATCATTACAGGTACTGGTTAGAATAAATGTGTAAGTAATACAATTGAAATGGAAAGAATACAATTGAAATGGAATGAAGGTTTAGGGCCTTATATTTCAGGAAAATCAATATTTTTAAAGACAACCTGTGCTAAAAAAAACTATTTTTTAAGAAATTTTCAGTGTTTTTCTTTATGAATTTTTCTTTGTGATTTTTTTAAATAATATTTTTAATATCAAATACCACTAAACCTACAAAGTTTATTTGTAATATTTTGTTTAAATCCGTTATTGATAAATGAGAAGATTTTTAAAAAAACTATTTTAAGGTTTCAGTAACTTTTTTCAAATTCGAAGAGAATATTTTAAAGTAAAATTCCTCTATAAATGTATTTTTATTTGTTCCATTAACTAAAATTCTTTCCACTTTTAAAAGGATTAAATTCGAATTTCATTTACCTGTCCTCTCGCCCCCATTGCCCTAAACAACTTATTTCCAAATTGTGTTAGTTTTATTTCGGAGACAAACCACAAAATGAAAACAATAAAATTTTTCTACAAAACCAAAATCACTGGACATCCTTGAAGTGTTTTGCAACCACAGACACAAATACACAAACACTCTCTCACTCACACAGAGAAAATCTAAAATGAACCTCTAAGACTGGGAATATTAAGAAAATTAAGGAAAATTTTTAAGTGTCTTAAGCTCTTGACAAAAACCTGGCCAACAACAGCAGCAACAACAACAACACACAATATAAGCTATTGTTGTAATAAAAACCTTAAAACTCTTCAGAAAACACTTTTTAAAGGTAAATAATATGGCAGACATTCGTGTTGTTGTTGCTGGTGCTGTTCTGTCCTTATCGTCCTCCGCCGCCTTAGTTTCCTAACCTTCACAAAAAAACTTTTCCTTTTATAAAATTTGTAATTTTATTTTTCTTCTCTCTTTTTCTTTTTCTGTATCTTTACAGGGGTTTTGGCAAGCAAGGTTTTCAATGCCAAGGTAAAGTAGTGTTGCAATACAAAAGAAATTTAAGGCAAGGCAACCACTTGGAGGCAGACACTCACACACACAGGTAGACGGAGGAAGAGAGAAACAAATGGGAAGCAACAGCAGCAAATGAGAAGGCAGTAAAACCAGAAACAGAAAAGTGCATTACAATCCAGATGTCACATAAAGATTTTCTTTTTTCTGTCGTTTTTGGAAAAGTTTTGGCCTCAAAACTTTTTCATCTTTACGACATGTGACACGTGTGGTGTTGCTTGTCTTCTGCTGGCTGCTGCCACCACCTCCACCACTAAAAACTACCTACAACTACTGGTACTTGTTAAGTGCAGCTTGTTGTCTGTTTCTCCATTTCTATCTCTGCGTGTGACGGTGTGTGTGTGTTCCCAATCTATGTTATTGCCATTGTTTCTTGTATATAATTTTCATGTTATGTTTCTTCTTCTTTTTTCCAGTTTGTTCGTATGTCGTTCACAAGCGTTGTCATGAATATGTTACATTTATATGCCCGGGCAAGGATAAAGGAATTGATTCCGTAAGTTGTCAATTATTTATTTTCAACTTTTTTTAATTGTTGTAAAAAGTTTTAGAATTTAGTTTTTTTATTTTTTATCCTCTTGATTTAGTTTAGTTTCCTAAGTCTAGCTTTTAACTTCAAATTTTATTTCTAGCCACTAATAATGGGTTACAGGCAAAAAACAAATTATATGGTTTAGACAAGCATAATTTTAGGCTTAGCTGTGTAAGTGTTTTTTGAAAGAAGCATTAAAAAATATTACGCTATTCAATTAAATAATAAATATATAAAATATATAAAAAGTGTTACAAAAAAAAATTATAAAAAAGAGTTACACAATGTGGAAAAAGTCCATAATGAGGCCTCATTGCAAAAATGACTGTTTGAAATTTTGAAAAATTTTAAAGAAGTAAGGTTAGAATGCGGCAAAAGAGGCATATACAGATCTCGAATAGAAAAAGGGCTCAAGGTATCCACTACAATAGTCAATGAAAAGTGTATATGGATTTGAAATTTTAAACTAAAATCATTAGGCTATGAAGTCATTAAAGGATACGAAACAGCTGTAAAAACTAATTATTTGGGAACATATGTGCGTATGAGTGCTATTAATATAGAAATAGGACGTATCAGAGCATATGAGCTATACGATGTTATGGTATTAAGCATACGTTGTAAAAAATAATCAGGAAAACTTTAAAAACTAATGAAGCATGGATCCCATTTAGGATTTCTTCTAAACTTGTTCATCTGTGCGTATGTATTACCATATAAGTATATTACTTATAAGGTGCTGTATATGCGAAAATTGCTTCAGCTTTAGACACCATTAAGAAAATCTTATTTAGATTTTAGGGTCTAAAATTAAGACACCTACCTTTATGGATCTCTAAAAAGACTTCTCTATTGCACAACCCTAGAATTTTCAAAAGCTATTATTTAAGGTAAGGGATAGAATAAAGACCGGTCTACATATGTACAGAAATATTAATGCCTAAATTTGAAAAAATAGAATTTTTGGGACAATATATTTCTAAAAAAAGAAAATTAGGAAAATGAAAAACGTTTTGAAATTTTGTCTAGCTTAACTAGGCATAACACAAGTTGTGAATTTAATGTAATGGGAAATGGCGAAAACTTAAACATGGGCAATTGTCATGCACGGGGAATTCTTTTTACTTTAATGTTTGCTGAGGGAATTAAAGTCATTTGGGCTAAAAAGTCATTGAGAGATTCGAAACAGGTGAGACAGACTAATATATAAACTGAATATTTGATTATAGGGGTGCGTATGATTGTTATTAATAGAAAAATCAGTGCGTATGAGTTACACCATGTTGGGGCATTAAGTATACGTTGTCGAAAAAAAATGAAAAAAAACGAACTTCTTAACAACGATATTTATGCCCTACTATAAAGGCTGCATTATGGACTATTCCCGTATATTTTTACTGTAACACATAATTTAAGAAAAATACCCAAAAGTATAAAGCTTTTGCATTGTGATTTATTTATTTTCTCGTTACTCTCTTAAAAATAAAAATTCAAATATTTTTTGGTCCAACTTTTGCTGGTCATGGCTTTGTTTTGTTAAATCTAGTTAGCATACTTTTGAAGGCAATGTCTTGACTTTCGGCAATTCGGCAAAGTTCAAGTCATTGTGTTTAATCGAAAACAATAGAACTTTGGCAATTGACCTTTTTTGGCTGATGCGGTTGGTGGGCAATGGCCTTGCTTGTAATGAACACTGCCCTAGCGCCTCTTAAATGTGGCCATAAAAATTGTCAAGTGTTAAGCAAGTCCTCCCATAAACGCAAAAAAAAACCTCTGCTGCTGCAGATGATGATGATGAAAACCATATAAATTCTTTTTTGCTTTAACCCTCCCCCAGCGAACAAACAAAAGTAGGCAGCATCAGCTCATAAGTTTTTATTTTCTTTATATTTTTTTGGTGCTTTGCTTTGTTTGTAGACAAAGTTTAGCCTTCTTCGCTTCGTTTTTTTTTTTAATTTTGAGTTCAACTAGACAATTGTTTACCAGCATGAAAGAGTCTATAACAATTTCAAGAGATTTATTTTATGTTTCCACTTTCGCCACCCCCACCCACCTGGCTATTAGTTTTAAGTTTCACTTTGTAATGTTTTCTTAAGTTTTTGCTTTATTTTCTATTTTTATTTCTTTTTCTTATTATCAATAATTCATAATTTCTTCTTTTTGTTTTGTGGGTGTTAAAAATGTTTGATTTAAACACTTGTTTATACAAAAACTTTTAATACTAATAATAACAATATGCAAACAACAAATAATAATCTTAAAATCAATCAATTCAAATCAACCATACCAATCAAAAAAAATGATCAAATAAAAATAAATCAAATCTAATTTAAACACCATTTCAAATTGGCCCGGAATATAAAATACGATACGATACGTTACGTATGTTCTGTCATGTCTGAATCTCGAAAACCAAACAAAAAACCAAAACTCCCAATATAAACAAAACCAAAATCAAAGGATTCACCCAAAACTGTACACCATTTTGAACCATTTACATACGCAGGACCCACATTCTGCGATCATTGCGGTTCCTTATTATACGGCATCTATCATCAAGGTCTAAAATGTTCAGGTAACGTTAAAAAACAGAATTTCAATTCACAACTTCTTAACAAATCTCTATCCTCCTCAAATAAAAGTAAATAACCCCAAATCCAAACTAAAAATAATGCTATCTCTTTCACTGTGTCTTTCTCTAACTATTGCTTATTGCCCGCCCAAGTCCAATAACAAAAATACTTTCACTTTCTCTTCTACGTTTAATTCTCTAATTTTTTCTTGGTCTGCCTTTTGTTACAATCTTATTCTTACCGCAAAAAAGAGAGTGTGTGTGAAAATGTGTAAATGATAATGAGAATATGTGGTTGTGTGGAGTGTGTGTGTGTGAATGTGTGTTTTTAACTTTAAATGTCTTACAAATAAAATAAAACATTTTCCCCCTTAAATGTATGCAGAACATTTGTTTACTTTTATGGCTAATTAACATAATGTATTTTTTCTTCTTCTTCTACTTATTCTTAACAATATATGTATGTATTTGTGTTTCAAATTATACATATTGTAACATGTGTAAATATTCAGTTTTTTTAACTCTGCCGTTCTCTCCACAAAGAAAGCATAACATATGTTTTTTGTGTGTAATAACCGTATTTTTTTCTTTTGATCATATCTAAAAGTATGCAATACAAACCCACTTGGTTTGGGTTTTTTCCTTTTACATTTAAATAACCTTATTTGTTGGATTTTAAATAAAACACACATTTAGCTGCCAACTGAATACTAATTATTTGGAAGTACTTTTTTCTCATAAAAAAAAATGTAATTTAAATACCAAAGATTATCACAATTAAGCAGGGTTAACTAGGCATAAAATTCGCTGAAGAAGATACCCAAATTACGGGGTTAATGTAAAGTGAAAACTTAAACATGGATAATTGTCATGCAAAGTCGAATCCTTATTGTCGTAATGTCTGACAAGGGAATTAAAGTCATTAGGCTAAGAAGTAATTAAAAGATTCGAAACAGGTGCGACAAAAACAATAAAAACTAATTAATTGGGAACAGGTGTGCGTATGATTGTTATTAATAGAAAAATAGAGGATACCCGAGCGTATAAGTGATACGATGTTAGGGTATTAAGTATACGTTGTATAAATTAAGTATTAAGTATACGTTGTATAAAATTATCAGGAAAATTTGAGAAACCAATAAAGGTTGAATGGCATTATCTGTCAATCTTCTCCAGGGATAATCTTCAATCTTCTCCAGCTCAGGTTTTTAAGATAGTATGATTTAAATATTTATGAATATAAGTAGTTTTTCAGCATTATCGAAATGTCTACACTATGTTTCTAATGCTTCCAGTAAATCTTAGAATTTGTATTATTGAATGTTTCTTAAATATCTCTCTTATTTTAATAGAATATATGTTTCCTCCTTCCACCATATGTTATATTGTGGAAGGCGATTCTAGATTTTGGAACTTCAATTTCTTTTCCAAGTGGTGTTGTAATGTCTTATGAATTAAAGTCATTAGGCTAAGATTCAAAACAGGTGTGGCAGTGCGTATGAGTGTTATTAATAGAAAAGTGTAGTGTATCGGAGCGTATGATATTAGGGCGTTAAGTATACGTCGTCTCAAATAATCAGAAAAACATGAGAAACCAATAACGTTTTTAAAATATCTACATAACTTATACCTTCTACATATATTCCAAATATTCCATGTAAATCTCAAAATATTTATTCTTGTAAAGTTTCTTTAATGTCGAAAAAATCGGCCCAGTTCTACAAATATCTCTTTTATTTTAATATTATATATGACGTTTTAGGTATTGACGACGTAATGAAATATGGTATCTGCTTTTAAAACTTTAATTTCCTTCATGTCAATCCATCGGATGCTTCCATAGGAGTTTTTAAAAAAAGTCAGATGTAAAGCCCCCTATCTAAATTCTTTATCTCTTCAGCACAACTCTAGTATATTGAATCGTTATTTAAGCTTAAATCTTCATCTATTGTACGATAGATCGTATAATTGATTTTAATTACATTTGATTTGTATGTGTTACAAAGGTGCACATGATTTATATTTATTATACAATTTATCGGCAACAAAAACTCCGACGTTTGAGGACTGCAGAAATGTTTAAATTAAAATTAATTTCAGGTAAAAGCTGTGTGTTAATTTTTACATCTAATTCTATGTGGTGTACAATAGGTCGTATGATTATTTTTAATAACGTATGATTTATATTTTAATTAACAGATCTATAAAATGAAGTATACGTCTTTTGGGGCAAATAAAACATAATAGAATTTGTTTCCACACATTTTTTCTATTCTCCTCTTAATTACCAACAATCACACCATTTAGATTTGTTCCCCCTCAATTTTCTCTTCTTCATAAAGTTGGTCATAGAAAAGTTCTGTGGCCCCACCCAGCTCCCATGAGCGTTTTTATACAGTTCAATTGTTTTTTATTTAATGTTAAACAAACTTTATGGTTAAAACAATAAATGAATATTTTTTGTTGTCCACTTTTTGTTGTTTTTCTTGCTTACAACAACTACACAAAAATAAATAAATCTGTAATAATATGGAAGTATTGCAATATATTAGGGTTGGATGTATAAAGTTTTTCACACACACACACACATCAATATATTAGGGTTGGATGTATGAGTTTTATCGCCTGTATTCCCTAAGCTCTGATTAATCTCCATATCCATGAATTGTATCTAATAAAATTGGAAATATACAATTTAAAAGATAAATTTTTATAAATCGGTTTTCGCCTGATAGTATATTTTTTTATTCTAAGATTTCTTGGCATTCGACCCACCCTAGTATATACATTTATTCAAATGTGTTTCATTCCCATATAGAATTTTGGTTGGCATGTAAATGGACCATATGCTGTTCTACGACTACAACACATAACCATATGTATATGAATATCAATACCAATGTTGGTGTTATTCTTCTGCTTCTTCTACATTACCATAACTGTAAAATGTGTTATCCATGCATCTGTCTGTTTGTCATTTTGTAGTTGGTAATAATGCTACACAGGACCTGTTGACTGTATGACAGTTGACAATTGATAGAGAGATTAAATGGTAGGCAGTAATTGCAGTGATATATAGATTTGTTAAAATTTTAAATAGCTATTATATAGAATGCCAAGGAATTTCAAGAAAAACTACTAATTATTATTTCTTTGTACAGTGGTGCGCATAATTATTTTCAAAAGAAAATATAGAAGTGTTTAAATATGATTTAAAATTAGTCCACATATTGAGAAAATGTATTTGAGTGCAGTGTTGCGTTTGATTGTTATTAATAGAAACAAAAGGTGCGTATACTTATTTTTAATACAAATTATGTGCGTATGATTGTATTAATACAAAACCTGTCTGCGTATGATTGTTTTGAATAACAAAATCCCAATGCCCTATTAGAGAGATAAAAAAATATTTCACATATTGGAAAAAAATTACTGAATAGGGCGTTTTAGGCAAACTACCTTCAAACATTACATAATATAAATTAAAAAATACAAACTATATTTAATGACCTTTTTTAAGCAAATAAAAAAATAATCTAAATCACTCCACTTATATCTAAAAAAAAACATTATTTTATAGGTTTGTAAATCTTTGTATTCTCTCCTTGTTTACACACAAATTTCCTTTAAGTTATTATTTATCATTCATCTCAGATCCTTACAGTGAATAATGTACATGTGTGACCTTCCTTAAGACATGTTTGCTTCGTGTTATTGTTTTGTTATTTGGCAAATCAACAAAAACAAAAAACTGGAGACAAAATGTTATTAAAATTTTACTAATAAATAAATATTTACACAAGTTTATGCAGTCGCATGTAGAATGCCCTTGTCGTTGCTGTCGTTACAATATATCTACGCTCCGAGAGAAAAATGAGATTGCTGGAGGCGATAGGCGTAAATGTTGTTATCATAAATATTAATAAGTTCGACAAAGGCAAACAAAGTAAAGATGTTGTTTACTGTCATTTAAAGTCATCATCATTTTGTTGTTGCTTTCCTTTGCGATTCGGAGGTTCTCTTTCTTTTCTTTTTTGCCAAAATTAAATTCAGCCATTTACCTTTGTTGGCAGAGATAATGGCCTAGGGTTATATTTTGTTGTTCTTCATGATGATGATCGATGGTATATAAAATTTAGATTTTTATTTGACATTTGCTGTTTTTGTAAATTCTAGTAAAAACGTGTAAGGGTAATTCTTTGGAAAATATTTTTTCACATTAAAGTCGTATGGGGCAAATATATCGCCATTTGTTTGTATAATCCATCATTCGAATTCATTAAAACCAAAAAAAATCCCAAATATATGCGAAGAAAAAATAAAAGGACAATTTTCCCAAGATATTTTATTATGAGTGCAGTGGAACGTATGATTATTTTTAATTCTGACCTATGGCGAATACATATTATTAATTTATTGAATACATTTTACTGGGAATTATTTAATGGAAAAGGAATTAAGAAATTATCTGAGGAATTATTTGTTGATATTTAGAACTATACGCGATGTTGTGTATAAAAATATATTTCATAAAGAAAATAAATTTCTGTATCAAATGTCCCCATTTCGTCGATTTCCTAGAGTGGCGTATACATTACGACAGTACTTATACGCATTGATGTACCATCGGAAATCGTATTGTAAGTCATAAATTAATTATCATATAAATCTTTTACATCAATTATTCTGCCAACTACGTATTTTGAGATATAGCTGCCAACATGTTAATCTTAATTTGTTAATTAACTATGCAATTGGTGTAATTTATTTCAATATTGACAATTTACTTAAATTTAATTTCACGTGCCATTTAATTTGACAAGCTCATTAAAAAATTATTTATTCGTTGTTGAAATCACACACACACACACAAAACGATATGTTTAAACATGAGGTAATTTATGGGTAATTAAATTAACGCAAACCCTCTTCTGCTCGTTTAAAATTTGTGTGCAGACATTCTTTTGATTGATTTGACAACAACAACAATGAATAACTACTTA